ACATACAAAGAAATCTAACTTTAAATATGGTCTGTGTTTATGTTTGAGAAGTTTTATACTCATTATGAAGAAATAAAAGTACAAGAAGTTTGATTCCTGCACCACTAAATTTGACTGGGATAATTAATTTCAAAATTTGCAATTTTTTTATGTCATTTTCAACTTGCCTTTTGGAATCAGTTAATTAAATTAGAATAATTTGTGGAAATAAGTTTCACATGTTCACGCCGGTGCAGGCCACTAGTGGCCCGCACTAGTGTGTCTCATCGGGCGGCACGTACCACCGGTGGCCCGCACTGCTGTCTTATCGGGCGACGCGTGCCACCGATGGTATGCATTCAATTGTATTATTAGACGCTGAAAGTTAAGATAATAAAAAAATTAAAGTTTTTTGTTATAAAAACTTTTTGAATAACAATTATAATTAATAACTGTTAGCAAACATACAACTTGTATACAAGTCTGAACAGGTAATAATCGTGCGCCGCCAGATGAAACGAGGCAAAAATTCAAGCGTCGTCTTACGGCAAAGAAAATAAAAATTTGCCCCGCTGTGAACGTGTTAAATGAAGTGTGGCAAAAATTGTGCATAATTTAATAGAACGTACAAAGAAGTCGTGTTCCTGTAGTCTTTTTTTTTTTTTTTTTTTTAATCTAGTTTTAGTGCTGTCATTAAGACTTATAATAGCAAATGTATTTACATAATTTTTAAGTGCTTTAATTGTTTATTATGAATGATATATGTAATTGATTAAGAGATTCTTATTATGAAATATTTCTTTTCAGGACAATTCAACTATGCTCATAGAAGCCTCGAAAGGTGGACACACTGCTGTTGTACAGTTATTGTTAGATTACCCAAATAGTCTGCTAGCATCTCCACCTCCACCTCCTGACCTTACACAAATTCCTAATGCTTCTCTAGAAAGCACTGAGGTCAGTGCTGCATTACTGTATATGAGAGTAATTTAAAATTATTTGATGTCAAAAAATTTTCATTAATGTATTTAAATAATCATTAATGAAAAATCTTAAATATTTGCTAAAAAGATCTTAGCAAAATATAAGAATTAATCTTGAATAAATATTTTGCTAAAAGATCCTGGCAAAATATTTATATTTATACTGTATTAGTAAACTGAAAATTCTTTTTTGATATAGTTTCAGATGGGAGTTTTTAGGCACATTTGTGTAAAATATTTGTCTAAGCGGTGGCTATTTTGTTATTTTTCCTTGTAATGAAAACCTTAAAAGTTAAACATGCAATGTGGGTGGAAGATATTTGTTTTTGACTGGCAATTTTGTGTAGCTTTAATGAATTTTTTTTAAAAAAGTGGGATTTTTTTTTCTTCAAGTTCTTGTATTTTAACATATTTTTTAATATTTACCATTAAGAGAAATACCTAAACTTCGATACTTTTCGTAAAAATGTAGTCAGTATAGTAATAGCATTTATGCCTTCACTAATTTTTCTTTTAACCTTTAAAAAATGTATGCTAAAAGTCTGTTTATACATAATATCATTTTATTAAAATCTATTTATTCATAATGGATATTATAGACTTTGAAAAATAAATAAAAAATATATCATTCAGTTAAAAAATGAATCAGGATTAATGTTAAATTTCTTCCACCTTATCTCATATATTGTATCAATAAATAAAATGGGAGGTTGAACACTGCGTGTATGTATAGTAGGTTTTCCCCCCTTTTTCTCAATTAAAAGATGTCATTCGTTTTCTTCTGTTAAAATTTGCCAAACTGTGGTGGCTGCACCAGTATGTAAGCATGGAAAATTTTCAACAGTCATCAAAACTTATAAAAAATTTTCTTGTAAGTATATTCAAAATATAGATAATTTTCTTTCTTATTGGATTAACTGAATTAGTTTTAAATCATAAATAGGCACCAAGAGTTCCTCCTCATGGACTTGCTGTTTTTTCTCCCCAAGAGCCTGAGCAAAATTCTGTATCCAATAATTCATACAGCATACAAGGTATTATTTTTTGTGTCTTATATTGTTGTTTCTCTCTCTCTCTCTCTCTTTTTTTTTTTTTTTTTTTTTTTTTTTTTTTTTTTTGCTTAGTAGGCATGAAATTATAAAATACTAGCTTTTAACATAAGGTATTTAAAATGCACTTTGAGTTAAGCTTTAAAATGAGTAAGATTGTTGAGAAGTACTAAATTTGAGTTAAATATTTTGGTTGCTGAATTTCTGGGCTGGTTTTAAATTTTAAAAGAGAAATTCTTTCCAAGGTGTTTTTGAATTATTTGCTGAATTAGCACCTGTTAAGTGAAGTATTTGTACTTCAGCTGTTGGAGATGTTGAATATTTATTTTATTTGTACAATTTTAATATACATAACAGTATACTTATTTAGTTCTGCCTGATTATATAAGATTTCATGCTTTAGATAGTTTAATTTTCAGTAAAAAAAAAAAAAAAGATCTTTCATTAAAACATTCCTTAAGTCAAATACTGCTTGAGCACTTACCCATAAACTGCATTATTAAAGTGCTATACTTGTATGTATGTATGAATGTATACATGTATATAGAACTGATTGTTTTGCACGCAGGTCCACGCATTCAGGATCTTCTACGCGAGTCTCTACCTAATTCTTCTCAATCCGTACCAAAGCAGAAATCTATTCAAAGGAAGAATTCTCTTATAAAAAATAACGAGGCCCCCTCCTCCTCATTCTATGAAAATGTTCGTTATCATTATCGTAGCAAAAGCAATGCTGCAGCACAAGTTAATTCTTTGTCCATTCAGGCTGAAACAGGAACACCAAAATGCTTGGTGGAAAATGAATTACCTTCTTCTGTAGTAGTCAGTGGAGGAGGGGGGAATATGGAATCTGAAATAATGAGCTCGGATATGAAACCTAGTGAAAGGCTTGAACAGTGTATTAATTCTATGATGAAAAAAGCCGAGATGCTGCATCCCAGTCCAGAAGAGCAGATTTTCCAGAAACAACAAATTCTTGAAGAATTGCAACGGGTTGAACGAGAACTTCAAGAAAAAGCTCAAGCACAGCTCTTGTTGACAGCACAACATCAGCAACATCATCAAAACTTACAAGGCCTGGGAACTTTAGTTACAGGAACTCCTACAATAACTACTCTTTCCAGCAACTCTTCAAATTCATTTCCCAATGTGTCAGGAGCACATACACAGCAAGTACTCATTAATTATGGTACAGTTCTAGACCTTCATTCTTTGTCCTCTCTTACAGACATTTCTTCCATGTCAAGCCATTTTCTTCGATCAGCTGCGATCACAGCTGCTACATCAGCTGCTGCTACATCAACTGCTGCCTCTATTACATCGCTTGCTGCTGGTAATACCCTTACTGTTCCTCAAGCAGTACATGCTCAGCAATTTTATCAACAGCAACAAAAAGCTCTCCAGCAGCAATCTGTAATTACAACGACCACACCAGCTGCTGAATATTGCAAGTCTCGCGTTGGTAAACCAGCAAAACAAGCTAAAACAGCAGTCATGAAACAAGTATTACAACAACAGCCTTTCCAGATGCAGTCAAGCCAGTTGCAGAATGAGACAATTGACCCACAAGATCATTTTGAAGAAATCAATTTGAGAAATATTGTTTTCAGTGAACAGCAACAACAACAACAGCAGCAGCAGCAACAACAACAACAACAACAGCAGCAGCAGCAGCAGCAGCAACAACAACAGCAGCGGGAACAACAACAACAGCAGCAGCAAATGCAGTTGCAGCAACAATTACTGCATCAGCATTCACAGCAACAATTTGTTTTATCTGAAATTACTCAAAATCTAACTCTAAGAGGAACCAAATATTGCGAAGGAGCAATAGCTGGAATTATGCATGCAATGGGAGGTTTTAAATTAACATCAGATAGTACCCAAACTCATAATATTCCAATGTATGATCCTGTAGCTGTTGGTCAAGCTCTCTTACAGCAGCAGCTTCAGCAGCAGCAACATTTGGCACAGCATCAGCAGTTAACTCAAGCAATGCAGGAAGAAACAAAAAGGCAACAGCAGCCGCAGCATTATGAAAAAAATATTAAACTTTTGAAAGGGAAAACTAGCAAACTTCAACAGCAGTTGTTAAATACAAGTCAGCCATCTCTAATATCTCAACAAGCAACTCAACAGGCAGTCAAACAACAGCTTGCTTCCTCTTGTGGTGAAACTTGCACTTTGGTTGGAAACATTCCCATTGATGGAACAGGTGTTTTAACACTTAGTGGAATGGCATCTCCTGCTTTTCCTGTATCAATAGCTGTTTCACCTGTATCCTTATCATCTCCAGTGTCAATAGCTACAAGTTGTGGAGCTTCATTTACCCATAATTTATCATTAGATGAAGGGCTAATGGTTGCTGCTCCTGCAAGGACCCTCCATGAAACTTTAGGGGATATCATGTCTGGTATGTAGACACTTTTATTCTTTTTTCTTTCTTGAAGTGGATGTTTATGATAATGTTATTTAACATTTTTGCAATCCTATTTAATGAAAGTAATAATTTGTGCTTAATTTTTTCTCATTCACTGTGCTCTAAGTGAGATTAAATTTAATTGCTGAGCTGTTGCTGAATTTCGGAAAAAGCATTCTAAGCTCACGTTTTTTAGAAAGTTATTTAAGATTCCTCAGTGTTCATTAATCAAAGGTAACTGTATTACATACTGAAAAAAGGCTGTACAAAATTTGATGTTGTAATGCAATATTTCTCAACCTGTGGTATGTGTGTCCCTAGGGGTATGCGATATGGGTTATGTGGGGGGGGGAAGAAAAGATGTAATGGGGAACATTGATAGATGACAGAACAAAGATAAAAAGCTGTTGTCACTTAAGTAACTATTTGCAAAGAACCCCTTGGGATTGACTTAAAAGAAGAATATCTTGAACTATTCAACAAGACATTAATTGTAACACTATTCTGCTATCATTCACAACCACTGTATTAGTGGATAGTGCTTTCTTGTTCTACTCTTACTTTAAAAGTAAGTACAGGAACAAATTTTCCAGCATGAGTTCGGACTTGAGACTATGTTTGTTATCTTCCAACCTGGATTTTAAATTACTGAAGGCTGCGAAACAGTCTCTCATTATATGTGATTCCATTTTTTTAAATTTAATTAATTATGAATAATTACCAATACACCATTTTTGCATAACTAAAGACCTATCAGTATTACAATGTTATTACCGTGCCTGCAGATGTTGTAGGTATTAATAAATATACATAACGGGTGAAAATGGAGTAGTTGGAGTTAATGGTGATAGGTCAAGGGGCATGCGAGTGGAAAAAGGTTGAGAAATGCTGATGTGATGGACAGTTGGTTGTAAAAGCTTTGAAGAATAGCATTTTAATCTTCATCAATAATGTTTGAAAATCAAATTACTGCATACTTCTGAATATAAACTGGTAAATTTTTTGCTGCTAAAGTGTGAGAGTATGCTTATATACTAATTCACAATGATTTACAAATAATTGAAAAATTTAATTCGTCAGTATTTGGCATGAAATTTTCAAATTTTCTAGGAATTCCTTAAAGTCTGTGTGTGCTACAGTCAAGTGTAAGTGAATCACATTGTCCATCATTTCACAACTATGTTATCATCTACTTTTTAGATATCTTACTCAGTGCCATGGTTAACATTACCAACATTTTATTGTTATTAATACTATGATAAAATTATTCTGCCGTCTTCCTTTTTTTAATTGAGTAAAAACCATTTCTCACCTTCGGTACTTCCGTAGGATGTAATTCAGTAAGACAATCATTTATTCAAACTTTTAGTGGCATGCAACTGTTTCTATAGCTTGTGGTTCTTTTTAAAATTATGCTTGTACACCTGTTTTTCAGTTTTAGCTAAATTTTTGTTAAAAAAAAGCGTGACTCTTGACTGATACATAGTGATTGATTGGCTCATATTCAGAAACATATCGTAATTTACATCATATATAAAGTTAGCATCTAGTAATCAGTGAGAAAACAAGCATCCAGAATTTTCAGCATCTGTGAATCTTTTGAGATGCGGGATTTAAATTAAACTAAACCGAAGAAATATTAGAAAGAAATAGTAAAGCTGATTTCAATTTGTATTATGAATGCAACATTAATATTAAATCTTTTGTAATTTTATGCACCTCCAGTTTAATATTTTAAGGAAATAAATAACTGTAAGTAGTGAATTTTTTATTGCATTCACAATCCTAGTATTTCACTAGAATACATGCCATATAATTTAAAATGCAGAATTCAAATTTAAAAAATGTAGTGAAAATTTATTTTTCTGTTAACTTCTACATCCTCACATTATTGTATTTTTAGTGTAATAATTTCTTCTCTATATGCCAAAACTATTTGTATTACAAAGCATACTTGTAAAAATTTGATTTTTCTCACTCTTGCATTTAAATTCTACAATTTTAAAGGATTTTTTTGTTACCATTTGTAAATTGGAATTTTTGGAAGGAAAATCATTAATTTACTTATTATCTTATATTTACGTACGTTGTGCTAAAAAAAGATTATATTTGCAGTATTTGATATTATTTGTATAGAATATTTATGTAGTATACATACAGTTTTTTACTTAAATGTTTGCTATTCATGACTATATCAGTATTTAATTTCTCTTTAAAGGACCAACAACACAGCTAGCTGGCACCCATATGAATTTAATGCAACAGGCAGCCCATTGCACGGAAGCTTGTTTGAATATGTCTGCACCTGGAGGAAAAAGTAGGAGTTTATCAATGTCATCACTGCCTGGAGTTAGTGCTTCAACAGCAACATTGCCTTTAACTTTTCATACCTTAGCTCCATCTCTAACGCCTTGTGTTCCTGTTCAAGTTTCAGCCAGTAGTGATTGTATTTCTCACCATTTGCCTCATTTAGCACATACTACTGCAGCTCCTTCCACTCCTGCACCCCCTTTATATCCACCTCTTGATCTAAACTCCCAGACTGATAGTAATCATGACACAGCCCTTACTCTTGCTGCTGCTGGGGGACATGAAGAATTAGTTAGCCTGTTGTTGTCTAGAGGAGCAGACATCGAGCATCGAGACAAAAAGGGTTTCACACCATTAATGCTTGCTGCCAGTGCTGGCCATGCTGGTGTTGTTGAAATCCTTTTGAATAATGCTGCAGAAATAGAAGCACAATCTGAAAGAACAAAAGATACAGCACTCTCCTTAGCTGCCACTGGTGGAAGATATGAAGTAAGTTCATATTTGCTGTTTGTGATAATAAATTGGTTTGAATTGGAAAAACTTTGTTCATGTGTATTTATTGGTTTAAGTTTGTAAATGGAAATGTGAATAAATTGTGTAAAAGAAAAGAATTTTTGGCTACTGTAGTAAAGGACTTCCATGTTTCCGTAGATGAATTCCATGTTTCCGTAGATAGCACAAAAAATGTCATTTTTTTCAGTGATTGTGATTGAGCATTTACCTCATAAATGTTAAAATGTTAACTTTGCATGGAAAATTGCTACATATGCATTGCATGTGCAGTAATTTTTCTGTTCAAAGTTGCTTTATACTAACACCTTTTTGACGTGCAAAGAATTTACATTTTTGTAAACAGGATGCTTCTTGTTGCCATCCATAAATGTTGACACAAAATTGTATAGATATGGCAGTCTTAACATTTTATGCATTGTCATGAAAAGAGATTTATTTTATTAAATTTAAAATAATTAGAAAGTGAATAAAGACAAATACAGAACTTCACAAATAAAAATACACGTAATCACTCCAGTGAGCAGTTACATAGCAATTTATCCATACTTGCAGTTGACAGAATTTTTCCAGTGTGAGATCTGGACATCAGAAGTAAATAAACTGAATCATTGCCAGAAAAGGAATTCTTTAAAACTTTGAGCAAGCATTTGATCTTTCTTTTTGCTGCATGAACTTTTCATTACATCTGTGCTTCAGTAGCAATAAAATGTTGTTTTATTGTATGATTTTTTTAAGTCTTTCGAAATGGAAATATTTTAAGGCAGTTTCTAAATTGTATATTTCAAAAAGGGTTGGGGGCAGTTCAGCAGTAGCAGTCGAAAATCTCTGAGAGGAAGTCATTGGACTAATGTTCATTTTTCCTATTTATTTGCTATGACATCATTTCCTTGGTGATATAATGGAATGAATAAGTTAGTGTGTTCGACACTGTGGCTGACATCTCCGTAAACTAAAACGTATTTAAAATATATCGTCTTCTCATTCCAGATATGTGGGAAGCCCCCTTTTTTCCCTAGTGGATTTTGTGTTTCTAGCGGGGGTTTTCCTCCCTAGTGGATTCGTAGATGCTGTTTCTTCATAAAACCAGAGTGTGAGATGTTGTAATAAAATTTTGAAAAAAGCTGTGATTTTTAGACCATTGGTTATAAGATGCAACCTTATTTTGTAAGCATTTCCAAGGAGGATGCATTATCAAAGAAGCATGCAGTATCAAATTGTGAGAAAATAATAAAGAATAAAAACGTTATAGTGTATAAATGTATATCTAACTGTAAGTAAGATTGAGTCCCAGCTCCTTTCACCTAGGCCTAATCTAATCTAATCTAACCTAATTAATTAAAGACTGTACCACCACACTTGGCAAATCAGTATCTAAGCTGGGGAAAAAAAAAAAAAAAAAAACTGGCTGAAAAAATAAAACCTAAATAAAAATACAGGGCAACTCAGCCCTACATCGTCCTCTAAAGAATAATAAAGAATAATCCGTGATCACACCAGCTGGGTTACCTCGACCCTAGCCCTAGGTGATTTCCAAAAATCAAGTTTGTATTAAAAGAAATCGAGTTTCAGCCTTGAAAATGACTTGCCATCCTGCTTTCGTTAGCAGATTTACATGGAATGATGCAAAGATTGAGGAAGAAAAGGGAACAATATTTGTATTATATGATTTTATGAATAAAAGATACCATAATAGCAGTAATAGCATACCATAATAGCTTATTTTCAGACACAGCATATATATATAGCTCTATAATTGAAGAACAAACATAGGTCTTACTCATTTGTTGCATTTCAGTAAGACCTACTGGACTCATTGTATTTGGATTTATTATATTCAACTGATATATCGATTTACTTGATTATTTTCCCTTCGTGTAATTCCTTCCCCCCCCCAACATATAAATTAGAAGCTTCTAATTTATTGCAGCATGTTATATGTACACATAAATAAAAAGAGTATTATTAGAATTAATAAGTGCATAATAGCACGTCTCTTTTATGCTTTTTAACGTGCTATATTTATCATTTAAACTGTCTCATCAGAAATGGTAAACAACGGGTATCTTTCCCTTTTCAGTCTTCAAGATGTAATATTAGGTAGTAAAGGTTGAAAAATGCACAAGTAAATATTGCTATTGCTACATTGAATGAATGTAACTGTTCTTTTACTATAATAATTTTTTCTTTTAGTTTAGCGCTGCAGGATCTAGAAAGTGAATAGAAGGATTATTTATATAAAAATATCATAAATAAATTGTAATGATTGCATGTTATGAATTGCTTTGCTTTTGTACTCGTGAAGATTGTGAAATGTTAAATTTGGTATATGCATAACTGATTTATTTGACAAAGTCTAATTTGGCATTTAATAATGTGATGAGAAGGTTAATAATGCTGTTGTGAATAAATTAAAATCTGTTTTTTAGGTTGTTGAAATTCTTCTGACTCGTGGGGCAAACAAAGAACATAGGAATCTGTCTGATTATACACCTCTAAGTCTAGCTGCCTCTGGGGGATATGTTAATATTATCAAGCTTCTCTTAAACCATGGAGCTGAAATAAATGCTAGGTTTGTATTCTATCTTTCTGTCCTTATTTATTTTGTATAAATTAGTGCTTTATTTAATTCATTGATTTGCTTTTGAAGCATGGCTATTCAGTTCCTTGCATTTTTAATATTTCTCAATTCAAGGTGCCGAAATTGTCTGTTTTGCAGAACTGGAAGCAAACTTGGTATCTCGCCCCTTATGTTAGCTGCCATGAATGGTCACACCCAAGCAGTGAAATTATTATTGGACATGGGTAGTGATATAAATGCACAAATTGAAACTAATCGAAACACAGCTCTTACATTAGCCTGCTTCCAGGGGCGACAGGATGTTGTGAGTCTTTTACTTGATCGCAAAGCAAATGTAGAACATCGTGCTAAGGTTAGTATTTCTGCAAATTATAAAAATATCTACAAATTTTTTTGCTCATAATTCTTACTTGATGTTATTATTTGTTTGGGTGACAATAATAGTTTTCAAGACAAAGTAATTTCTACTTTGTAATACCATAGTCAGTATTCACATTGACTATTTTGATGTTATGAAGTGTTTCATTTGAGTGATACAGAATGTAATAAACATAAAATCAAGTCAAAGGAGGTGATTCAAGTTTGTACTCTGTGAGTTCCACAGAATTTTGTTTCTTAATTTAAAAGTTCAATACCTTTTTCTCTCACTGTCTGTCTTTTCTTCCTCTTCCAGCATTTAATGCTAGATTAGTGATATTAGAGAGCCTGATATCACTATGCTTGAATCAAATTGTTGGCCTGCTTTTGATTGAACACTGCTTTTGATTGACACTTTGCCAAAACATATTTGTCTTTTAGATGTATGAACATCTAACAGACCTTATGAAAGGTAACAGCACATAAAATTTCAAAATAATTTTTACACATCTTCTGTTGCTTTATTATTAGCCCAAAAGGCATTAGCCCAGAAGGGCTGTTAATTTCGTTTTTAAATTTTGTGTCAAAAACTTTAAATGTCCATTTCACAAATTGTTGCCACCAAATATTATCATCCTTTGTTATATTTAAAGAAATTAATAGTGAAGAATCTGCATAAATGTATATATGTTTCTTGCATTATGATAAAATAACAGTACTAAAGCTACCAAATTTTGAATAATGTAATCCTCTACTGAATGTGGCCATCTGGAAGCCCTAATTTGGAATTTGTTTTATTATCGATTTCATATTTTGTAACACTTTAAGAAATTTTTTATTAGCAAACTCAAGGATTCCAAAGCAAGCAATGGCAACATACAGGGAAAAAAAATTATCTCCATTGAGCGAGACTTTGTATCGGAAATTCTAAATATATACTCATTTTAAAATTATTTTGTGATAAAGCTGTTGAATGATTTTTTTTTAAGTATGAAGAACATGATTTTTAATAAATAAAGGTAACGCACAAAACATTAAAAAAGCCCTTATGGATGTAATGTAAAATCTGAACCCTTTCAGATTTTATTTATGCCTATTTCTTAATTGCTGTATAATGGAGAACCATTTTAATGTACTAAGGAAGGTAAAAGGAAGTAATAGTTTTCCTTATATATACTATATTATGGTTAATGACTGACATTTCTTGAAAGAAAGTTAAGGTAATCTAATTGAGACATTTTCTAGGTGACGAACCTATAGAAAAATAGTGAGTACTTCAGATATATACCAGCTAGCTACAGTGTCGACTTGAAGGAATAGATGTAGGGTAGCTGCGTGAGGCTGAAAAGGTGGTAGTTATCAGTGTGGATAGATTTGATGATTCGGTCATTCCATTGTGAGATCTTTGACAAATTCTGACGTCATGTGTAAATGTCTTAGTAAAACGGAAATATGAGAGAAAACTCAAATTAGAAAAACAAACTTCTGCAACAGGGACTGCCAGTGCTTTTAATATGTGAACTCAAATTGACATCCTCTTCAGAAATGGTGGCTACAGTTTGGGCTATATTCATTAAATGAGGGCTATACTTGGATTGTGTGCATAAACTGCAGTGCATTGATTAATCATCACTAAAGGGAGCATTTGCGGCCAATAAGTGCTGCAGAGTACATTGCCTGTAGGCTCTTTACAGTGCAAGAGCATTGTATGGAATGCATAGGACATGTAAGACTAGGCAAAGTCAGATGAACATTGCTTACCAGAATGCATTTTACCCTTTGACATTTTTCAGAGGAAGGCTTATGGTGTGGACTTGTCCCCTCTTCCCTCTTAGGTCAATTTGTAATTTTGCCTTGAATAGCAAAGCCAGCACTGTAAAGGTATGTGCTACCATCCTTATGACAGCACTATGGAATAATGCTTATTTTTTAACACTTCAGTTCATGCATTGAAAAAGTAAAATCTGTAGCAAACTTGAAGAAATGGAAGTAATGAATTCATCTGCCTGATCCAGAGCTCTGATCGCAGCCCCTATAAATATCTTTGGAGATTAGTTAGAGTACCACTTGAAAGCTAGATCAAACTGCCACAGAACTATTTGTCATGTGGCTGGAGGAATGGAAGAAAATACTTACAGGCAATCTTTTGAAGTCTTCATTGAAAGTTAAAGGCTAGGATAGCAGCAGATAGAAGGTCTATGTCATATTAATACCATACTAGTTACAGTTAAGCAATTCTAATGTGTGTCCAATTATTAATGGCAACATAGTGTATGTCACACTCATCTCCCCTATTTTTTTTTTTTTTTTTTTTTAATCTTGAATTAGATGAGTGGTTATATTATCTATGATTAAACAGAGTATGATCTAAGAAATCTTCAAACTGTAGGAAATTAGTATTACAGTATTTTAGTGTTTTGGTTTTAGCTTTTGCATATAGAAATTTAAATTAAAGTTTCAGTTACATGCTTTCTACATTGAGGGCAATAAATTAATATTTTTCAAAAGATATTAATTCACTTGTGCATTCGCATAAAAACCAGGCATATGTCATTTAAAATATTAAGAGAATAATTGTATATTAAAATTGCACATTATGTGTACTTACACAATTAGAACTTATATATATTTACTAGCCAGTATTCTACATAAAGCTTTAGGTCAGGTTTCACTGAATTTTTTTTCCTCAAGCAGAGGAATATGCTATTTGCATTCCTTAGGGTTTTTTTGGGGGGTGGGTCTAATAATTGTAAAAATTAAAAATTTAAAGTACAAATAAGTATTCCATCCATCAAAACTTAAGTAGAATTTTATTTTGATGTTGCCGTCCATGTTGATTAATATTTTCAAGCTTTAAATCATCTGCAGATGAATGTAAAAGTGTATATTCTTTTTAATTAATAACAGATCTTTTAAGCTTTGTTCATACGGTGGTTTTTAAAACCGTAAGTGAACCGAGCCAAATTTTTTTGCTAGGTAACCAGACTTTGCCGTGCAAGGGTTTACGGATTTTGCCTAAATGTTCCAGCTTTTCAACTTCATGCCACTTGGTATAAGAGCCAACCAATCACAGCAAAGCAAACTTCTGTTGATTATTTTGCTCAGCTACACATTTATGCATGCACAGTTTCTCTTGTGTGATTATGGCTTAGACCTTGCCAAACGGGTGTGAATGGACTTAATAACTTTTATACCTTAAACCAAAAAGCTTTACGAAGACAAAATCTTCGTCGGAACAAAGCTTTAGATAAAAAGGAAGACTGGAGTAGTAAAAAGTATCATTTTTAAATGACCAACAGTAAATTAATATCTTCACCATTTCATTTCAGATGTATGATACACTGAAATCTGCATTTTTTAGAACTAAAAGGGTTATGCCATTTTGAACAGATTTAGGATATTTATTTGCATCAGTGTTACTAATGCATGTTAGATGGTATAATAAAGAAGGTTGTGCCCTTTATTTACCTCAATATTGACCTCAGATTTGTGTCTTAATATGGGTGTCTCAAAATGAGCAAAAGACTTACATGAATTGTAAGAATTTCAACACCATAGGGGACAGCATTCTGTAAAAATAAATTTAATGCTCATAATATGGCCTATTCCCTATACAGCCAAATTCCAGTTAATTTATTATCCGTTCTGCTTTAATGAGTTCAAAAACAAAAAGTGAAACACTGTTGCATGGAATATTTGCTGAGATACATGTGAATCAAAGAGGTAATGTTGCAATTTATGTCCCCAAAGAAACACAAACTTAAAAAAAAATTTAGAAAGCAACTGCAAAGCAAAATTTGCTTGTTTTGCCAAATTTATTGCATAAAACCACTGATTATAAAATGTGGTGGCTGCTTGAAAATATTACTGACATCACTCTAAATTTTGCAAGAAAACCAAAAGTAATAAAACTAAAAGCAGCAGTAAAGAAAAGTAGCTTTGGAAAAGTGAAATAAGCTAATAATTGGTTTGATTATTTTTTAATAAAATACAGACACACTTTTTTTTGTTGCATTTTATGTACATTTATTGCATTTTTTCTCTGAAGTTTTTTGTCAACCTTGCATTGAGATGGTTGATCAGAGACATTTGTTAATCACATATGCCTGTTTAATGTCTCCAGGTCTCATTCTATACTAATTCTTCCACTTTTTGAAACGTTTTCAATTATTACTGTATGTAAATTAATGAAATTACAGTCATGCAATGCTCTCTTAAGTATTCAGCAATCTACAGTACTCAGAAGTCACAAAATTGTTTATATGTAACTATTAAGTTACTGGCGTCAAAATTTTTACAGGTGTAATTTTAAATATTTTTTATTATCGATAACAGAGCCATAAAAAGGTAGATGCAATTATGACTAGTAGGCAAGCAAAAGAAAAAATGTGAAGTTTCCAATTAGAATGTAGGGAGATAAGACTGATTCAGTTTTTGTTTGACTTCCTTTTTTTATATTGGTTGTTGAAGATTTTGGTTTTAGAGTTTATCATTATTATTGACTAGTTATTTACATCTTTAGCATTATATTAGAATTATGTGATAATGGTTAATTTGAAATGAACACAGTTTAGAGAGATTATTATAAACATGTTGCTGTTTTTAGGATAGAAAGGGGAATTAGTCAAATTAAATAAAAGTCTTAAGGAGCTATTTCAAGTTAGCATTTTTTACGTTCTTTCATGTTCGTACCTTCTTGGTTGGCAGAGCCATTTTTATGGAAAAGTAATAAAGCACCTGACATATATACTGGTTATCATAAATTAAGGAAAAATCACAAAAATCATGATTACTGAAAAAGTTACATATAGAATTTAATGAAACTTACCCACAATATACAACATATAGTAAGGTATCAAATAACATAAAAAGAAATTACCATACACATATGGTACTATAGAAATTAGCACATGTATAAAATGAACAAATCGAAGGTATCAGTTTGCTATAGGAAAAGTACCTTCAGTATGGAATATGATCGCCTCTAGAAGCAATACAGCACATAAAGCGATGTGGATGCTTTCAATTATGCACTTTATCAGTTCCATAGGAAGCGAGAGCCATTGCTCTTGCAAAGCAGTTCCAAGCGCGACAAGGTTTTGCTCCATAAAGCATCCCAAACGTGCTCAATAGGATCCAAGTCCTGGGATCGAGCTGACCACTCCATGCGCATAATTTTTTCCTGTTAAAGATAATCATCTACGATGCGAGCCCTGTGTGGTCTTGTGTTGTCGTCCTGTAACAGGAAAGCATCACCTATTGCCCCGTCATATGGGCTCACGTAAACATCAAGGATGTCCTCTCTATAAATCTGAGCATTCATGGTTCCCCTTGGAAAGACATGGAGATCTGTGCATCCACCCAAAGAGATGCCACCCCAAACACAGACACTGCCCCTTCCGTATGCATCTCTTTCACGAATGATAAAGGGTTCTAGGTTCTCTCCATATCAAATAACACCTACTATCGCTTTCTAGACTAAACCTAGACTCATCCGTAAAGAGAACCGCCCTCCGTTGATCAGGCGTCCAGTGGACATGTTGTCTTGCCCACTGAAAAGGGTCCCTCCTATGGCGTGACATGAGCGGCACACAAATGGCTGGTCGCCTCGCATACAGACCAACTTCGTGAAGCTTCTATGCACAGTTGACGTTGACACAAACCTTCCGGTGGCTGCAGCAAGGGAGGATCTATGAAGAATCGGAGTAGCGGTTCTATTCCTGCGTGCACATAATGTCAAATATCGGTCATCGGCGCTCGTCGTAGCAGTTTGCCGTCCTTGGCTGAACTCCTAGATGCCGAATCTGTAGTTTGAAATTGCCTCCAATGTCTATAAACCACAGAAGGACTTACATTTAACCATCAAGCCACTTCTGTTTGACCTTGTCCTTCCTCTAGTCTCCCAATAGCTCTTCATTGCAGTTCAGCAGGCAAATGATGCCTGGAGGTCATTGTTACGAATTGGCTATCTCAGATTTCTGATGTCACTGTCACAGTGAAATATGTGGGCTTGCTCTCAAGCATGGACTTTTATGCTCCTCGCAGATGACGTATTCTAAAAGCAGCGCCACTAATTTGCATATCGCAATTTTACTCAGCTACTCTTATTTGGCAACATATTCAAATTTTAAATGGTTTGGCTTATTTTTTAGGGAGTTATTGCTATTTTTGTGATTTTTCTTTAATTTATGATAACCAGTGTATCATGGTATCAATCTGCCATTACAGAACACATGATAAAGGCCTAACCTGTGACCTCCCTCACAGAAGAATGCCCCAAGAATAAATGTGAAAGTGAATCCTCACCAGAAAGTGGATGCATTCCCCCCCCCCAAAAAAAAAAACTGATTTTCCTTGGTCCCAAAAGTTCTAAGTGTTCATGGTCCCTTCACATAAAAAAATGTGCTTTTTCCTTTCAAATGATATTTCTTTGTGTAATTTCATTTCTAATGCTTATAAACACGATAATAAATGTTTTAATTTGTTAGACTTGTTTTACATATTTAATGAACTCTCTCTGTATTTTATCATCAAGTGTCTCTGAGCAGTTAATCTTTGTCTCTAAGCATTTAATCTTTCCACCTCTACTGAATCCATTTCAGCATTCTTCAAGTAATACATATACATATATCTGTTTTATTGAAGCAATCTCCTTATTAGTTACATCTGCAAAAGGCAGTTATTTAATTTAACCTAAATATATAATCAATACTTTTATACATTTGTTATATTTAATACAGATATTTCAGTGTATTTATATTGAAATTAATTAATTAATAATTGTAGAATTGACTCCAGTGAAGAGAAGTAACACAAATCATTTAAACCCACTCTAACCCCCTCCCCCACAAGAAAAGAAATACTGGAAATAAATAATCTTGGAGAAGGTTTGTTAAACATTGAGGTTATTTAAAGTGTAATTCTCATATCAGTCCATTAAGTTGTCATTAGGAAATAAAGGTATTTAAAAGATTAAAATTTCAATTCCAGCAAACAAGAAAAAGAAAATGAAAAATTTCAGATATAGTATATAATGTAAGCAGAAATTTTATTTGCACCAGTAAACCAAAAACTTCATGTGAATTGTTTTATTAAGATGTACTAAAACCACTCTTTTTCAAAATATGTATGCATATGAAGAGTAAATCATCACTACTTGCCATTTACAGAAATGGGAGCCCTGAAGTGATTGTGTTGGAGTATATTATTTGATTTCAAGACTTTAAGTAAAAAAAAAAAATTTTTTTTTACTATTAGTTTAATATCAAAGAAAATTTCCTTACTATTTACACATTGAAAGTAGCTGTTTTAATCATAGTGAAGAACACTACAAAAGTTGAAGAGAGAAAATATCCTAAGAAAGCTAGTAAATATTTTATTTAAGTATTTTCTTTACATTATGTATGTTTTTTTTTTATTACAGCAGTAATGCACAGATACCTCAATAAAGTATGTGAATTTTTTACAGTAGATGGTATCTTTTTCTAGTTTTTGTATGTAAAGTGTTTTACTTAAACTTGTACAATAAGTCATCTTTACATTTTTATACCCTGTAAAACTATTTTGGAAGGCCTCACCCTATAAAACTTTTAAAATTTCTGTACTCTAGATCAGGGTTTTCTGTCCTTAAGAGCAAGCACATTCTAGAATATCTGTTGAACAGCAGGCACCATTTACTTTTTCAAAGTGAATTTAGTTTGATAGAATTTTAATACCTGCACATAAAAAAAAAAAAAGAGAGAGAGAGAGAGAGAGAGATCTGTGGTATTTTGCTTTATGCTAGTATCTGTGCAATACCAAATTTCTATTTCATTAAAAATGAGAGAACTTTCGCATAGAATTTTATTGAAAACTAAAACATTTTTATTGTAATTGCACACTTTAAATTATTGGCACTGTAATTGCACACTTTAAATTATTGGTGCCACGGGCATAGGGTTGGGAATCCCTGCTCTAGATATTCAAAACAAAGCAAAATCTGTACTATTCTCAAACGCGTTTCCTATCATTCTTCTTTGGCTGTGTATTCTTTTAAATATAAGTATTGCAGATTTTTGATAGTCTGTTAAAGTTTCTTGCAGTATAATGTATCCATAATATAACTATATGCCTTTTTTGAACTAGACTGGTTTAACGCCATTAATGGAGGCCGCATCTGGAGGCTTTGTTGAAGTTGGGAAAGTGCTTATTGATAAAGGAGCTGACGTGAATGCCCCACCTGTGCCTTCCTCACGTGACACAGCTCTCACCATTGCTGCTGATAAGGGACACCACCGATTTGTTCAATTACTCCTCCAGAGGTAAATTTTAAAATATATACATGTGAGAAAATTTCACATATCTGTGATAGCTGCATGTAATGAGGCACTAAAATTTGAAAACTCTTTAAGTGATTTTCCATTAGCTGTGTGTTTTTAGTAATAAAAAATTTTTGTTAAGTACTATAAAATGCAGAATTAATTTTAATGACATTCTTGAAATTTCATTCTTATAAATTCTGTGATATAAAATGCAAATTTAATTATTTAATCCAAACTTTTCAAGAGCTGTGTAAGCATATAATTCTTAAATTACTATATGTACTTTCCATTCTTTGATTTGTGTATCTTTTGTAAAGTATGAAACAATAAAATGCTGCATTTTGATTTTACAAAAATGGCAATGCACAGTGTAACTTTGCATATTATCATTTTGATTGATCTATTTCTAATTCCCTTCTTTCTTCTCTTATTTCTTTTTGCTGTAAATTTGCAGTTAATCATAAGTTTACAGCTTTTTCTTATTAGTAAAACAGTATGCATTCAGTTCTGAAAAATCCATTTCTATATCGAAATTGTGATTTATATTTCAGTTTAATTACAGAGGCTTTTATTTATTAACTACTGGTGGAAAATTTAATTGTTATTACATTTAATTTTTTTAAGGGATGCAATCGTTGATGTTAAGAACAAGAAAGGAAATTCTCCCTTATGGCTAGCTGCTAATGGTATGTCATTTGCTTTATATTTGTAAATAATTGTGAATTTTTACTTCCTTAAATTTTATACTTTGTGTGCATTTGCATGCGTCATGTAAACTATGTAACATTTTTATTTTGGTTTTATTTGCATACTGTTGCATGCATACGGATGAATTTGCATGCGCCATGTAAACTACGTTATGTAACATTTTCATTATGGTTTTATTTGCGTTCAGTTGCATGCATACAAATTCATAATGGATTTTATGCACACAAAACCAATGATAGTGTAATAAAATTTGTTTTCCCAAAGAAAACACTTTAGAAATCTGGAACTTTTCACAAAAGCATTTGTACAGCTCAGTATGGCAGAATACAATCAGTATTTACCACTTCAAGCTACCAAAGACAATATATCAAAAGACTCAAATGCGAGCAGTGTATGTCTAATGCTGCAGGACACAGACTTTTTTTAAAACATGTTGATGAAAAACATTTGTTTTAAAAAATGTCTGTGCTCTGTAGTTTGGGACATGCACTGCTAATGCTCACACTCTCAATACTCTGAACTAAACTGAGAACTAATGCTCTGTTTTGTCTTTTATAGGCAAAAGTTTAAACAAACATATCATTATTTGATAATAAAGATACAAATTACAGATACAACATATAACAAATTTAAATTGCCTGTGTTCCCAAGCACTGCACAAATTAAGAAATAGATCTCCAACAGAAATATTTTTATGAAAAACAGTATTTTTGTACATATCTAAAACATGAATTTTTGCATGCATTTTTTTCATTTGTTTCACAGTAATAAGGAATTTAAATTGCATTTCTGTGATGTTCTAGTTATTTCACGAAAGTTTAATTCAGTGGTATTTCTGTAAAGCTCCTTGCGTCATTCTCAGCTTTAAATTTTTATTTTATTTTATTTTCAGGTGGACATCTGGATGTTGTACAGCTATTGTGCAATCATAAAGCAGATATTGACAGTCAGGACAATAGGAAAGTCTCTTGCTTAATGGCTGCATTTAGAAAAGGGCATGTAAAAGTAGTGAAGTGGATGGTTAAGCATGTTACACAGTTTCCTTCTGATATGGAAATGACACGCTATATGAGCACAGTTACAGACAAGGTTCACATTTTATTTACTTTTTAACTGTAGCTAAGTGATGTAAATTAAACGTTAACAGTAAACATTCTGACTGGTAACAGTTTAAAGCTTTTAATTAAATCATTATAAACACACATGGATTTTATAAACATATATTTTTTCTTTTCTGCTATTAAAACTGAAGTAATTTCCCCTTCCCCCTGTAAGATTCCCATTTTCATTTATTAAAGTTTGTATGTGTGTGCAAAATGAACACCAGTATGAGTTTATTTCTCAAGTTTATCTGGAAAATTCAGTCAATAAAAAATAAACAAAAATCAAACAAAGTAATGTGTCAGGTTATATATAAAATCCATTATCTAATTTAATTAATCTATTAGAATTTTGAAAATTTTTTATACATCAAACATTTAAGACAGCAATAGTGTGAACTCATGGCAAAACAAGTTTTTTGTTTTAAGTTCCCATGTTTCATGATAATTTTGATTAATTATGAGGCATTTTCTTGTAAGACTTTGGCAAAGTGTACAATTTGCTCGTTATAGATAGGGCGATTGAGGGGGCCAAATTTTGACAACTAATAGCAGTTTTGGTGGTAGTTGCTTTAATGAAGAAGCTAAAAATTTCAGTCTTTCTAATAGTCCACTCAACCTTGATATACAAGGTGTCTACAAAAGTGACTGTGGCTTCACTTCTTTAAATATTATTTCTTATATAAATAATTTAAATAATAATTTATTTTAGGACACGTACATGTCTTAGAATAAGTATATTTGTATATACAGTAGTGGCCAAAATTGTGGACACTTTTGGAAATTTTTGTTTTTGAACTTTGGATGCTTATAGAAAATGTTACATTTCGCAAAATGCAAACTTGTATATATCATTTTAAATAGAATTTATTAATAAATTCAATACAAAACACAAAATTCAATTATTTGCAACACAAAAAGTTATATGTACTTATAACTTTTTGTTATAAGTACATATAACTTATAAATAAAAAACACAGTTAAGTAAATAAAAAACACAGTTATGGAGTGGTTTGTAATGTCTAGCTTTTCTGGCCAATCACTGTTCTTGTTCTGAGAATCAATCAAATGTTAGTAACTGCCAATAGAAGCTGACATCATGTTTACACTTGAAACACATCATTATTTTGTTTTGTTCTGTAGAAGGAGGACCTATTTCTTATACACTGCAATTACAAGTAGGAATTTTTGTAAAAATTTTTAATATTTAGTCAAGAAGCAATGACATCAAATAAAAGAGTAGATTAGACACCTAGAAAGAGATGTAATATTATTGTGTTACGGGAAAGTGGTCTTTCCTATGCTGAAATTGCAAGACAGGTGGGTGGTTCAGTGAATACATCTGGAGTCCAAAAGTCTTGTTTACAATATCAGGAGACAAATTCAATAAAAAACAAAAAGGAAAAGGCCGAAAAAGGTGCACCACATCTATTGATGGCAGAAGAATAAAAAGACTATGTCTCCAAAATAGAAAAATGTCATCAGCGGCCATCAGAAGTGATCTGAATAATGCTGGTGTTTCTGTCAGTTCAAGAACAATCGGAAGACGATTAACAGATGTTGGACTGAGAGATAGAATTCCACGAAAAAAGCTTTATCTTAATTTTCAGCAACGAAAAAAAAAAAAAAAAGAATACAGTGGGCAAAGGAACACATTAATTGGACAGATGATCAGTGGTCACAAGTTATATGGAGTGATGAAACTAAGATATCGTTATTCGGTAGTGATGGGCGAAAATATGTAAGACGTAGAATGAGAAGAGCTACATCCTGACTGCAATCAAGCAACTGTGAAGAACACAGTTAGTGTTATGATTTGGTCATGCATGTCAGCAGATGGTATTGGTCACCTTCATGTCATCGATGAGACACTGAATGCCAGAAAATACATTGAAACTATTCTAGAACCAAACCTTCCATCAGAGATCTCTTTCCCAACAATGCTTCGTTTATTTTTCAGCAGGATTGTGCTCCTTGCCACACGGCCAAAATATCGAAAGAGTTTTTTCGTACAAAGAGCATTAAATTGTTGTCATGGCCAAGAAACAGTCCTGACCTCAATCCTATCGAAAATTTGTGGCACTGTTTGAAAACTCTTGTCCGAATGAGGCGCCCATCAAATAAAAGGGAACTAATTGAGGCTATAATTGTTTCCTGGCATCATGTAATAACGAAAGAAGAGCTTAAAACTCTTTTCAGTTCAATGAAACGTCGATGTGAAGCTGTAATCAAAAATGAAGGGTACCCTACTAAGTACTGATAACTCACTGCAATCATCACTATCTAATGTATATTGATAACTATTATCGTTTAACTTTTTGTATTTCAAATAATTGAATTTTGTGTTTTGTATTGAATTCGGTAATAAATTCTCTTTAAAATGATATATACAAGTTTGCATTTTGTGAAACGTAACGCTTTCTATAAGCATACAAAGTTCAAAGACATAAAAATTTCCAAAAGTGTCCACAATTTTGGCCACCACTGTACACACACATTCTTTTGCAGTGTATCTTGAAACCATTATCTTTCTTTCATGCATTTGTATTGAATAATTTATTTTGAAATGAAGCTCCTTATACAGTTGATTTATCTAGTATAATATATCATTAAATGTTTTCATGTTTTAGGACTTGTTAAAGAAATGCAACACATGTATGGATGCGATTAGGGTTGCAAAAGATCGACAAGCTGCTGAAGCTTATAAGAATGCTAATATATTGCTGGAGGAGTTGGATTTAGAAAAGTGTCGAGAAGAAAGCCGTAAAGCAGCAGCTGCTCGGCGCAGAGAACGCAAAAGAAGAAAAAAAAGAGAGAAACAAGAACAGGTGTGTTATTATATTTTGTATTATGTAATATGTCAAATTCTTTAATAAGCATTTTGCTCTACTTCTTAGAAAGGTGATAAATGATTTTTGTAACATTATTGCTGTTAACAGAATCACCACATAAGCTGGTCCTCTGCAAATCATAAAATACATGCTATATCTCAGTTAATTATTTAAATAAATAATTTACTGTATCTCAATTTCAAAAGTGATTTATTCAAGTTTTTAATATTTTGCTGATTGCCCAGTTTTCTATGCATATCCTCCCCCTGATGCTCGGTTCAAAAAAATACCGTATAATTACAATTCAAAGATTATGAGAAAGTAATTAGTTTTCAAAGAATTCACTGTTTCTGAGACATTGAATTTCAGTCGTAATAAAAAGTCTTAATATCATTCATATCTAGAAAGTTGTCTTTTTCTCTGTGATATTGTTAAAGAAGAAAATTCTGGCAGTGAGATAACAGCATTAAGCTTTGTTGGAATTAATATTCTGTTCAAATGCTTCAAAATTTATGAAAAGAAGTCACAGGAGAATTGCTGCATAGAAAATAATAATAATGATGATGATGATGATGATGATGATGATGATGATTCTATGATTATATTTAATCAAGATGTGCTAATTGCAGGATTTAAAAAAGGGGGGGGACTAGTTTAACAAAAAGAAGAAGCGAAAGAGTGCACAAGAGTGAACTGCATTGTGATGCTGCAATCTGTGAATAAGCAGCTATTAGAGATCTACAAATGACATCATAGATTTGCAGAGTATTTATGTGTCTTGGAAACAAAGAAATGTGAATCAAATAGAAAAAGAAACATGCCAATACAAAAATTCTTTTTATGCTTATAAGAACAAAGGTGATTTCTTCTAGAAAATTTGAAAAGCTCTTGAAATTTATTATTGCAGTTAGACCCTATTATTTCCTACATAACACGACTTTTCATTTTTATCAAACTTCTGAAGAATTCTTTTAGTTATTATTTTATATATAGGGCAATTCTTTCATCACATTTTCAATATATTTTGATTATCTGTATTTACCCCTGTGTTAATTAGCATGAATAATAGAGAGCTCGGTGTCTGTGCGGTAACCCTGAGAATGTTCTTTTTATTAATCTTTGACATGCGGATCAAATGAAAATGGATTAACTGCGCATTAAAGTATTATTTAAAAATGTATGAGGTTATTTCTAATATACTGCAGATACTTTATATTATATCAGTAATCTGAATTATGTTTTTGTTTATAATTTTTAAGGGAAAATATAAGTTTTACTACTCTTGAAATAGCATGTCAAAACCAAGCACCCTTTTTTAAAATTTATTTTGTGAAATCTATGTGAAAATAATATATATTTTAACTGTTTTAGCTAAGAGCAGCCAAAGCTGCTGCTGAAGAATCAAAAAAAGCTGAAAAAAACGACAACCAGCAATTAGCCAAACAGCAGCCAATGCATCAAAGTGATCAATCGGAAGTTGAGGATGATGATGAGGAAGAGGAAGAGGAAGATGAGGAAGAAGAAGAGAAAGATGATGATGAAAATTTATTGCCTTCTGAATGTAGTTCCCGTTAGTATCGCTGTAGAAGCTGGTTTAATTGTTCCTTTGCCATTAAAATTTTTCTACTATTCCTACAGTTATAGTTTTTTAACACAATTTACAGCCTTTTATTAACTAATTTCTTTCATTTTCAGCAAATGACACTAATTCAAGGTTGCCCACTACAAATAGCAGTCCTAGCAAAAATAAGCCATCACCTAGCAATAGCCCTTCAAATAACGAAGTTAAATGCAAAGAAATATATACGTATGATCAGGAAACCAATCAGTCCCCTTCAAATCAAAAATCCAATGAGCCGTCTCAATCCGAAAAGCGCCGTGATCGTGAGAAATCAAAAACTCAGGAAAAAAACAAGAGAAACATGATTAACAAGGGACAATCCTCAGAAAATAATAGGAGCTGTAATGAAATCATGGTGGCTGAGAAACATGCCTCAAAAGTTTCGGAGTCAGTGACTGTGATAAATACTTCTACTGTCAGTAATTGTAATAGGAACAACAAAAAGCGGAATCAGAAGCATGAGGTCACCATGAACTGTTCTACAATTGTCACTACCCCTTCATCCACTAACTTGAAAAATATCTCAACTCTTACTTCTGCTAGTGTATGTCCAGTAGCAGAAATTAAAAGCCAGAACATGGTCCATAAGCATTATAAACCCAAAGAACTTTTAGTGAATGGTATCAGTGGGAACAGTGTCACTGATTATGATGATTTTTGTGCCCTATTTACCCAGAATTCGAATATCCGAGGGAAAAGCAAAAGTTCAGTTGAAAAACTAAGCTTGTAAGTACACTTACATCCTGTTTACTTAATATATGTTATCTTTGTATGTTTGCATGTAAAATGAAATTTGCAATTTTTGCAAAAGTCTTTAGGAAATGTCGAACTAATACAGTAATCCCTCGGCTAAGAGTTTAATTTCATTTTCCCAAAACTAAACTACTTATAATGGAAAACAAAAATCATTTTACGTTATTTCCTTTCCGGTAAATTTGAATTATTATCGAAAGAAAAAATTTCCCCTAAATATATTTGAACAAACAACATTATTTGAAATTTTTTTATGAAGACTTATATCAGCATAAAATTTAATTCCTGAAAGGGCAAAATATACTACTAGTGATTACTTGCTGCATTTTAAATGACACATTAGTTGAACATCTCTCTCTCATCTCCTTATGCAATTAACAAATCACTTAACGCTTTAAAAGAATTTTTATTATCTCTTCAATTTGGTGGTGGTGAAGGTGTTGGTGTTTTCAAGAATACTTGGAATTATAGGATTGCTAAATGCTGACTTTTAACCTTACGTGAATGGATAATTACAAATTCCTTGTGTATTTTACAAAATATGTTTGTTTTGTAAAATTCATGAGGTATTTTCAAAATTCATATGATATTTGTTGGGGACTGTACTAACTTTTCTACATACAAATTTCAAGTTTGATCTATTTCTAATCTTATAACATATTGCTTACACACTTTTATATCCAAATATGCCCACTGCTTGCACACAATATTGATTTATAGTTTTTGTTGAGAAAATAATGTGTTAGGAAAGAGAAAATACAATACGGCTATCGACTTATATACTTCCTGGTGATCTTCTAGAATGTTATCTTCCGATTGGCATTAGTATTTTAATTGAGAGGTGAAAAGTCATGTCTGCTGTTTCAATCTTACATTACACACTTTGCTGCAGTAAAGTGTTGGTTATTTTTGACTGAAGAGAAAAGAATAATGTGATAAAGCAGGAAGAGGGTAAGGTTTTTGAAACAATGCTGAATTATCTAACTCTTCACTACAGGGGTATAAAAACACAAAATACAATTTAGTTCATTCATCCATACATTCTTGATATCAATATGTATTGTTAACTTAGAAGTGGAACACATTATTAGGAGATGCCTTTTTTGTGAGAGTTTTATTTTATAACTTTTTATTGTACATTTCAAGCTTTCCAGGTTGTGATTTTCTGTGAAATTAAAATTCTGATTAACTGGATTTTCTTAGTCTTTTGCCTTTTCTTTGTTAAATAACTTTCATTGTATAACATCGGCAACTGCTGAATTTATGCATGATTGATTGTCCAGTTCAGAATCTCTTCCATATCTATCAGTGCCTTCACTGACTTTTGTTCTAAAATTAATCTTGAATATTAACATTAATTGCTTTTATTGATCTTTTAATTTGATCGTTCTTTTTGTGGCATGATCTGATACTTACTCTTCAATTTCTTTACTTAGTTAACACCTTCAGTATATTTATGCTTGTTATATGCTCACAGTTCCTAATGTTTAAAAGCCAAAATGAAGAACAAAATTCATGTGTAATGATACATCTGTTTTGCCCATTTCAGCTATATTAACAACATGAGAATGAATTTCTGATATGGACTGAAAGCTTTAAAGAACTCTTAACAGTTTTTTGGGAAAATGGTTTTAGTCTTGTCTTTTAGTGAAATTTTTCAATTTCTATGTAGTCAAAATATGATTTGTAAACAATACTAGGAAAACACAAGTTTTTTTAAACTAGTATTTTTGGTATCTTGAACAAAATGTTATTAGCTAAAAAAAAGTTGGAAGACGTGTTAGAAATTTATTTTGTGCTTAGAGAACGAGACATGATCAGTGATAACAATTTTTAATATTTTGTAATTAATATATTCCCATTTGCTAATGGTGATGAAATATGGTGAACATAGAATTAAAAATTTACACAAATGGAAATATCAGTTATAACTCTTACTACATTTACAGAAAAGTTAGTCTTGTTACTGAATTTATGTGGGAGGTAGAGAATAGAACAAGCAAATATAAAGACATTTCCCTTCCCTCTAAATACACAATCTTAACATAGAAATCTGTTTTGAAGACCTATTATGAATATTTTTTGGATTTTTCTGTAGCTTTTCAGATGATTACTGACAGATTTGTGAAAAACATATGAACTTTCTTACGGAATTAAAAATGTTAGGACATACTGTGTAGGAAACTAATAATATTCTACAGAGAATATTAGTAGAAGTACACAAAAATAAAAAAAAATATACAATTCCTTTAAACTTGTAATTAAAAGAGAACACAGGATTATAAAAAATGGCATTTTTTTAGAAGAAAATCTGAACTTAACTCTTTTTGCCTGGGGATTGCTGTATATATCTTGTTAACATGTTTTATTTAACTTGAAAATAATTCCTCTTATGTTATTAGCATCATTTATATTTTACCTTGCAGTTCTTTCTTTGTGGTTTGTTTTGAATCCAGTTTAATTATTTTTAGTTCTGTTAAAAGGCGTTAAAAGAAAAAAATCTTGTTGCATTTGAGATTTATATCATTATTTAAGCTAATTAAAAATAGGAAAGAAATATAACAGTTGCAGGTTAAGGGAGGTAAAATACGAGTAATTCTTTATATCATTTTGTTAAATAAAATCTGTCTCTAAAGGTTAAAAATATTATCTGATAGGTGATGGGATATAAAATATGTGTGTTTAATACAGAAGGTTTATGAAATTATATCATTGATAGCTGTATAGCACTAGAAACTGCATTTAGGAAACTCAAAAGTATCGGAAATTTAAAAATAATTGTGTTAATAGAATGGTGAATATCCAGATCAGTATGTGCATGTATTATAAAGCATATGTAAATCAACACTGAAATATTATTTCTTATAGTATTGCAAGCTTTGAAATCATTTGGTGCTAAGAATCTTCTAACAGTCCAATAATTGCTCAAAATGCAAATATATCCCCCCCCCAGAAAAAGTACTTACTTGAAACAAAATGTAGGAATAAACTATTATTTATGAATGTAATAAGAAAATATTATTGGAAAGGATATATGTTACAAGATGTAATCTTTTGTAATATTGTTTTATGTTCTTTTAAATTAGAGATTTTTTTTTTTTTAATCCAATTGCAGACACTTGTCTATTAAGCATTGGCCATTCCTAAGGCCAAAAGTGGTGGCCATTTTATTATGGAGACACCTAACAGGTGGCAACCGTTGCCTCCTATGAAAGGACAGACAGTTACAAACATGCTTTCTGTGGAATTCAAACTGGCGCCCTTCGGTACCACAGTAGGCTTCCCTAACCACTATACCATCTGGGCAGCAGAAAAAATACTTATTATGGTTTAGCTTACTCATTCGTAATTTATGTTCACTGATTTCAATTTTAAGATACAAAATATTTAGTTCTAAAGATGATATTAAAACAGTATTGAAGTATATATTATAATCATTTGTTTAAAATTTTGATTTTACATGAGAAATGTTTGCACTAATCTAATTTGAAAATCAAGTTTAAGCCATGTTAAATCTGTATTTTTAATACTACTTTTAAATTTACAAGAAAACATGTTTTAAGAAGAAATTACAAAATTTTATACACACACAAACTCAGTTATCACAAAAATTTTTAATCTTACTTTGTCCAATGTATTGATTTAGAGCCGAAAATGTTATCGTGTATTTTAAATTGTTTTTAATAGACAATGTAGTTTTTAAATAAAATCTTTCACTTAGCGCGTTCCGTGATAATTGCACCAACTGCTGCAAAAGCAAATTTAGTAAATGGTAAGCATTTAATATTTTAGAGCAGATACATGTATATAGAAAGTTAATAATTTAGGGTAATGAAGGCAAAATATATTTTTTTAAATTGAGCATTGGTCACTTTGAAATGCAGAATAAATTTTACTTCCAGACATTTTGTCTGATTTACAGATATCTACAAGGAAACTATGATAAAATCATTTATTTATTGAGTTAATTTTTTCATACATTTTAGAAAATTCTTTGGAGGTTATGATGAAGTTAACACTTATATTATGTTGGGGAATTAATTTTTGCATATTGCTAAAGTAACAACTCTGAAGATTAATTTTATATTAACATAATTGAAAGTTAATTACCTTAATAAAGGCAGTTTGTCTGAATTTTCTATAATTGTTGATATTTTGACACAGCAATCCTCATTCTTCCTAGAATATTTTGGGTGTGTTATCTAATTGGGAGAAACTTTCAGAACAAACTTGGCATATTGTCTTTCTACATACCATAGAGTTTAAGGATTTTTATATTCTGGGTTTTCTGCATATATCGAACCCCTAATATATTTTTAGCTTACCATTGGAACAACAGTCTTCCATCTTATCTGTATCTTCTAGTTATAATCTTTGTTTAAAACTTCATAGATGTTCCATATACTCGTAACGACCATTCACTCTTAATATTAATACTCACATGCTCATAATATTAATTGTTTCATATACTGATCTGTACCATCATCAATTTCATTTATAATTTTAGATTCAGTAGTTGAATTTTATGTAATTGCAGGCACTTTTTTCACTAACTGAACTTGCGTAATTTGAAGAATCATGTATCCTTCATGTTCATTATGATCATGTATATCACTTACATTCATTTAATATTTCTCCTGGAATCCAGACCTGTTTCTTTTATATACTGGGAGGGAGTTCTGCTACTATTTAATCTTCCGTTGCTTTAACTGTCATTTATTTTCACTATGTGGATGAACATTACTTTTCAGTTACATTATTTTATTCAAATATTATGCTTGAAAATTCATCTGCATGCCACCAAGTGAGAACAAAATTTTAGATTGAAATGTGTGAAAAATAGAACATGACATAACATTAGTGGTGACTCCTTCGTATGAAAAGAAGGAAAAGAGCTTAGGCAATATTGTCCATTGCTCTTCCGCCATTTGATCATTTAATTCAAAGGTTTTAAATGGTAACTCCCATGAAAG